AATATGTATCTGAAGTTTATGTCGTGGAGTACTTTGCTTATGTTTTCTTCTATTGATTTTACAGTTTCAGGTCTTACTACCAAGTCTTTTATCCATTTTGGGTTGAATTTCATGTATAATGTGAGACAACGATTTAGTTTTATTCTTCTCTATGTGGCATTCCAATTTTCTCAGCACCACTGGTTTGTTTTCCCAGCTTGTGACTGGTTTGTTCCTTGTTCTAATGTATAAACTTTTCCCTTCTCATATATCAGTTGCCCATAAATGTGTGGTTTTATTTCTGGGCTCTCAATTTGCATTGGTCTGTATGTCTATTTTCTAGTACCATGCTGTTTTAATTACTATGGCTTTTAGTATAGCTTGGAGTCTGGAAGTATGATACTGCCATTTTTCTTTTTTCTTAGGAGAACTTTGGCTATTTGGGGTCTTTTGTGGTTCCACATGAATTTCAGTAATCTTTGTCCTAGTTCTTTGCAGAATACCATTGTGTTGTTATTAAGATTGCATTGAATCTACAGATTGCTTTGGGTAGGATGGCCATTTTGACAGTGATGATTCTTCCTATCCATGAAATGGGGAATATCTTTTCATTTATTTGTGCCTTCCACTTATTTTAACAATGTTATATAGATTTCCTTGTATAGGTTTTTTACCTCCTTTGTTAGGTTTATTCCTAGGTATTTATTTATTTTTTTGGTGAGATTATAAATGGGATGATTTTCTTAATTTCTTCTTCTAGTTCATTATTTGTATATAGGAAGGTGACTGATTTTTGTGTAATGATGTTGTAACCTGACATTTTACTGGTTTATTGTTTCGATTAGTTTTTCTGTGGAGTCTTTGAGTTCTCCATGTTCATTATCATATCATCTGCAAATAATGATACTGTACTTTTGCTTTCCCAATTTAGATTCCTTTTATGTCTTTTTTTTTGCCTAATTGCTCTAGCTAGGTCTTTCAATACTGTGTTGAATAGCAGTGTTGAGAATGGACATCTTTGTCTTGTACTGATCTTAGTGGAAAGTATTTCAATTTTTCCCCATGAGAATGATACTATCTGTGGGTTTGTCATATAGGGCTTTTATTGTGTTAAGATTTGTTCCATATATCTTCCATTTTTCAAGGGTTATCATAATAAATGGCTGTTGAATCTTATTAAAAGCTTCCTTAGCATCTGTTGATATGACCATGTGTTTTTTGCTTTTCTTTTTGTTGATGTTTATTACATTGATTTATTTCCAGATGTTGAACCATCCTTGCAGTATATATCCCTCTTTGTCATGGGGTATAATCTTTTCAATACATCATTGGATTGGTTGGCTAAGATTTTATTGAGGATTTTTGCATTTGGTTTTGGCCTTAGATTTCTTTTTCTATGTTGTCTTTGGCTTTGGTATTAGTGTAATGTTGGCCTCATAAAATGTGTTTGGAACAATTCCTTCTTTCTTGATTTTTTTAAAAAGTCTGAGCAGAACAGGTATTAGTTTGCCTTTAAAGGCTTGGTAGAGGTGCAGCAGACCTCTCCTGACTCTCCCACTGCTCCCCTCAGCAGTGTACTTCGGTCAATCTGCCTGTTCTGTTCCCCACTCTGTCTCCGGTGAGTCCTCTTGCCCCCCGTATCTCTTATCTGTATCCCAGCTCTTGCATGCATAAATAAATAAATAAATATATTTTTAAAAAAGGTTTGGTAGAACTCACTTGTGAAGGCATCTGGTCCTGGACTTTTGTTTTTTAAGAGAGATTTGATTACTGTTTCAATTTCCTTGCGATTGTTCAGGTTTGCTATTTCTTTCCTATTCAGTCTTAGATGATTGTATAATTTTAAGAATCTGTCCGTTTTGTCTAGGTGTTGAATTTTTGCATATAAATATTCATAGTAACACTTTTTTATCTACTGGATTTATGCAATTTCTGTTGTAACTTCTTTCATTTTTGAATCTGTTTACTTGAGTTTTCTCCCTCTTTTTCTGTGTGAGCTTAACTAGAGGTTTATCTATTTTTTTGATTTTTTTCAAAGAACCAGTTTTTGGTTTCATTGATCTTTTGGACTGTTTTATTTCTATTTCTTTTATTTATGTTCTAATTTTTATTACTTCTTCCTCTTACCAGCTTTTGAACTTTTTTGGTCTTCTTTTTTTTAGTTCCTTGAGATAAGAGACAAGGTGATTTGTTTGGGCTCTTTCTGGTTTCTTGATGTAGGGCTGTATTGTCATACACTTCCCTCTTAGAATTGCTCTTGCTGTGTCCTATGTTTTCTGAAAAGTTGTGTCCTCATTATCATTTGTCTTGAGGTTGTTTTGATTTCTTCTTTGATATTCTCATTAATCCAGTGGCTATTCAGTAGTTCATTTGGTCTCCATGTACAAAATTATTTCCTTGTTTTCTTTAGATAGTTGATTTGTGAACAAATCAGAGTCAGAGAAGATAGTTGGTGTGATTTCAGTCTTCATTATATTGTTGATGCTCATTTGGTGACCAAGTATGACATCAATCCTGGAGAATAATTCATGTACACTTAAAAAAATGTGTATTAAGCTTTATGGGAGTGTTCTTCCCTGTAAATGTCTATTAGACCCATGGGGTCTAGTTCTTCGTTTAGGGTGATCATGTCCTTAACTATTTTCTGTCTCAATGATTTGTGCATTGGTGAAAGTGGGGTGTTAAAGTCTTCAACCACATATATATTTTCTCCAATGTCTATTTTCAGATTTGATAGTAATTGTCTGATGTATTTTGGTGTTCCTTCATTTGGTGAGTATATATTGATGAGTATTATGTCATCCCTTTGTATCACTCCCTTGATGACTGAATAGTGTTCATCACTGTCTTTTATTAACCTTTTAGTTGAAAGTCTATTTTGTCTGATATAAGTATGGCTCTATCTGCCTTCCTTTGGGTGTCATTGTTTGCAGAATTGTTTTCTATCCCTTTACCTTCAGTCTATGTTTATTTTTGGTATTCAATTGTGTTTCCTAGAGTCAGCAAAAGGTTGGATTTTGTTTCCTAATCCAATTAGATACCAAATGTCTTTTTATTGGTAAGTTCAGTTCATTGATGTTTACAGCAATTTTTGATATGTAAAGGTCTGTTACTGCCACTTTGTTCCTAGTCTTATGGTTCTATTTAATCCCTTATTCGGGTCTGTGTTCATTCCTCTTTGGTTTAAATCTTAGTTACTTTTAATATTTCTTGAAGGGGTGGTTTTATGGATGCAAATTCCATAGACTTTCTCTGAGAAAGTCCTTATTTCTCTCTCATACAGAAAGGAGAGCTTTGCAGGATAGAGTATTCTTGGCTGACATTTGTTTTTCTTGGAGGCTGCTGAATATATGTTGAATATGTCACTCCATTCTCTTCTTGCCCATAGTATTTATTTAGAGAAGACTGATGTTAGCCAAATTGGTATTCCTCTGTAGGTTATCTGTTTCTTCTCCCTCATAAGCGTCATTATTTTTTCCTTGTTTTAGATTCTTGGAAGCTTAACCACTATCTGTATTGCTGTAGTTTTCCTTTTATCTAGGTAGTCTAGTGTTCTTTTTGCTTCTTGCATTTCTATGTTCATTTCCTTTTTCAAGTTTGGGAAATTTTCTTCCACTATTTCTTTAAGTAGCATTTCAGGGCCTGCCCTGGTGGCACAGCAGTTGAGCACTGGGCTGCAAGGATGCCCACAGCCTCTGCAGCGCCAGTTCAATCCCCAGCCACTGGCAAGGGTCCCACATGGTGCACAGACCTCTCCTGCTGTGCCAGCTGCTCCCCTCAGCAGTGTGTTTCGTCAGTCTGCCTGTTCTGTTCCCCGCTGGCCCTGGTGAATTTTCTCACCCTCCTGTGCTTCTCACTGTACCCAGCGGTTGAGCGCTGGGTTGTGAAGCTTCCCGTGGCCTCTGCGGCGCTGGTTCCATCCCCGGCTGCTCCCCGGCCACTGGAGGAGGGTCCCACATGGCGCGCAGACCTCTCCTGCCGCCCGCTGCTCCCCTCAGCAGTGTACTTCGGTCCTTCTGCCTGCTCTGCTCCCCACTCTGGCTCTGGTGAATTCTCTCACCCTCCCACGCTTCTGACTGTACCCAGTGCATGTATAAACAAACAAACAAACAAACAAACAAATAAATAAATAAAATACGTGCCTCTTTAAAAAAAATGAATAAATAAATAAATAGTTTTTCATAGTTTTTCTCTCTCTCTTCTCCTTCTAGGATTCCTGTGATCCTTATATTGCCTTTACTCATGATGTCAGATAATTCTTGAAATGTTCCTTTTTTTCTTTTTTATTTATTTTTCTTTATGATAGACTACAATTCTATACAGTTTATGCTAAAGGTCATTAAAAGACATTAAGGTACAAAAGTGTGATTTCTGGTCTTGAAGAACTAGCCTTTAAAGTTTCTAAGACTTCAAAGTCTATAGAGATCTTGGAAAGAAGGCAGGTTAATTGTAAGCAGATAACATAGCATGAGCAGAGGGATAGAGACTCACAAAGTTCTGAACATAGTATTTGATTTATATGAGCTAAAGAATAATGAGTGTTTAGTAGGAGATAATTTTGAACAGAATAGCTGTTATGGCTAATAGAAAATCACATAGAGCTTCTGTTATTTAGATGTTGTGATTTTCTGAGTGGAACAAGGATTATCTCAGGTTAGCTATTACTGTGAAACAGTGAAAAGAACACTGGATCTAGGAACATGGCAACTTGTACCTGTACCTAGAAGCCCAAGATTATATAGTGGTCATTTCACCACTCTGCTCTCCAACTCACACAGATGCAGAATTGAACTTAGAAATGAGTTATTAAAGTCTAAATTCTGGCTGCATCATCACTATAATAGTTAAAGCATCAGATTAAAGGGATCAGATAATCTAAGATGGTGACATGGAAATAATGGAAAGATAGGTACAATATAAAATCTTAAGACAAAACCCTTAAATTGAACATATATTAAGAAACATATCTATATCTGTGAATTGTCTTGAAAACAAAAACACATTTATGATCAGAACACTACCTGTAGACGATCAACATGAACCTTGACTCCTCCAACGACTCCTTTTTTAAAAGCTGCCAGCATGTCTAATATAGGGTTAAATCGGCTACCTCTAAAAAAATACAAACAGATAAAGAAAATATGCATATAAACAACAAAATGAAAAAGGAGTAATCTAATCTAAGTGTCTTTCACATATGCAAAGCACCCTGCCACAATGTTGAGAGGGATAGAAAAAAATATAAGGAGGCCCTGCCTTCCAATAGGTTCAGAATGTTATTTGACAAACCTACCTTATATTGTCTTCCCGAATCAGAACAAGGAAAATTGGACGTCCATGCATTTTCCAGTATTGTTTAATGAATTGTAGTGCATTCTATCAAAACAATAATGAGTTAGGAATAATGTTACAATATCTGAACTGGTCAGGATGCTTAACCATTAATGGCAAAAAGTCAACAAAACTCATCTATAAAGATAATTCACACTCAAATCTTGGATAGTATAGACTACTTAGAGATAGAAATGTTCTAAGACACATAAGTGTACAAATATGAATACATACAAGTTAAGCTAGAAACCATTTTGATTTCAAGAACTTTGTTATTGAAAGTAATTGGGTCACACCTGTTTTAAGGCTTATTTTTGTAACCTAAAAAATATAGTTCAAGAATGGCCCCAGGGAGGGAACAAATCAACCTAAGGTGATCATCTAGAAGACTAGTTCTCACTCCACATTATTGTGGATTTATTATTAGGTAGAAGAGATTGGACTGGTAGAAGAAATTGGACTGAATGTATGGAGACCATCAGAGATGCAGAGATAGTTCTTTTTTGACTAATTTTCTACTGTCATAGAGATAATCATCATCATATCAAAGACATGTAAATACTTCACTTATGTGCCAGGCACTATTTTGAGGGTTTACATATATTAATACATTTAATTCTCAGAAAAGGCCAACATTACATAATTAGTGAGCTAAGTGGAGCTAAGATTTTAACAAACACAATCTGGCTGTAAATTTCATGTTCTAGATCATGACTCTAAGCTCACCTCAGATGGAAAAGGTGGAAAAGACTGTAACTAACTGGGTGTTATGAGTTGGTTGAAGTTTTACTTAGCATTTTTCATGAACAAAATTATTTTCCTAACTCTTGTTCAAGAAGAGATAAACTATTACTGTGATGAACATGGTTTCTAAATCAGTTCCCCTTCTGCTTTCATTAACTATATCTGTTCATTTCATTTGTAGAAAGGTATAATAGGCAAAGTCACACAATTTTATATAAAAGAGTCCATCTATTATTCTAATACTACTACTTCTAACTCTTTAAAGTTTCACTGATCTTGTTTGACTTTCAAGTTTTATTTTTAAAGATTTTATTTATTTATACATACAAGAACTGGGGTCTAGGCCAGAAGTGCAGGGGGTAAAGGGATTCACCAGAGACAGAGTGGGGAGTGGATCTACTAAAATACACTGCTAAGGGGAGCAATGGGTGAGATAGGAGAGGTTTGCTGCGCCATGTGGGTTACCTCCCTGGCCTGCCAGGGATCTAACTCATGCTGTTGTGGCTGGCGGCAGCGTGATAGTACCGAGACTTAACCCTTGTGCCACCAGGGAGGCCCCTGACTTTCATGTTTTACATGTTGTTATCCCAGTGTCCCAGACACCTAAGACTACTCATTTAATAACATGTGATAGGGCCTCCCCGGTGGCACAGCGGTTGAGCGCTAGGTTGCGAAGCTGCCCGCAGCCTCTGCAGCACAGGTTCGATCCCCGGCTGCTCCCCGGCCACCGGAGGAGGGTCCCACATGGCGCGCAGACCTCTCCTGCCACCCGCTGCTCCCCTCAGCAGTGTACTTTGGTCCTTCTGCCTGCTCTGCTCCCCGCTCTGACTCTGGTGAATTCTCTCACCCTCCCGCGCTTCTGACTGTACCCAGTGCATGTATAAACAAACAAAAACAAATAAATAAATGAATAAAATACATGCTCTTTAAAAAAATAAATTAAAAAAACATGATAAAACCAATAGAAAAATTCATCAAATAAAATGTGTTCTGAAGCTACCTTTATGTCATCTATCAGCAGTAAAACATCTTGAGACATGTAGAAGTCACTTAAGTCAAAGATGATAGGGTAACAAACCACAGTCTTTCCTAGAATGCGATAAATCTGTAAGGAATGAATGATTTTATAAAAATAAATACAAAACAGACCAAAGGCAAAGTAATAAAGACATAGTAACACAAGTCCTAATAAAAATTAGAAGTGAAGTTTATTTCTAAATAAGCTAATAAAATACCTTGTAAAACTTGTAAACTTTCTTAATATTAAGAAATTTTAGTTCCTTGGTTGAATCAGTATAATCAATATGCTAATAAACCTAAAGTAACCACCTTTATTATGATGAGAAAATATCTCTGAGTAAATTCTGTTATAATCAGGTATCTTACAACACTTAGAAATAATAAAGTGGTGAGATTCTTATTCATTCCTAGAAGAATGTGATATCATGTAAAACAATAAGATTTACTTATAGAAAGTAATAATTCAGCCCAAGAATATAACAAATGTGAACATGGATGCATAACAAGTCAACATCAGTTCAGTCTGTGGTATTATAGTCTGAACATTGCCCTACATGGAAATTTCATAAGCACCTTTGATGTACCAAGGCAGCCAATGGGTCTATCTGGCCTTCCGGAGAGTCCCAACTTTTCATTGATACCCAGATGGAAATAAGCCTGTAAAACATAAATTTGTAAAGCAGAGTGAGGCAGGAATCTGCTTTTTCTCTTTTGTTTTGCACCTTCCCACTATTGCCCGTTAATTCTAATGTTTCTAAAGAAAAAGGGTCAGGGAAACTTTTTTCAACAAGAAACTTGTGCAAAAGTAAACTAGCAATGAAGTTCAACTTAAATTTGAAGCACTGAGAGCTCTTATAGATAGATCTATATGACCATATTCTAAAATTTACAAACTCACAACTCACTTGGCTATACTCAGTTCACGAAAGAACCAGTTTGCTCATCTTCAATGCTATTATGCAGTGTGAGAATGTCTGCACAGTAGGTCAAACGTTACTACAGCACGTGGTATTTCAATCCAAACATTTCTCTATTAGGAAATTCACAAGGGGCTGTGATGTGCCATGTTGTTTATATTTCTTCAGCTATACTTAGGAAGGAAACTGTGTATTGTTTCCTTAACAGCTTTTTGACACGAATATTAGTCTAAAATAGATTTCCCCTTGCAAAGGTTGTAAACTGTTCTCCCAGGGAGTTTATATTTAAATCATTTTAAAAATATTTAAATCCTTAATCTTTCTGGAATTTATTTTTGTACTTGATAAGAGGTAGAAATCTAACCTAAATTTTCCTAAATGGAAAATAAATTGTTTCTACACAATCTACTGATTGTGATTTGAATTGATTTCAAATACCAGCCTCATTGTATACAAAATTAATGTCATTACCAGCACCCTCTGTTCATTCTGCTATGGCACACAAATATGACAGCTTAACTCTGATGTCTATTTTCCTTCTGCAGTGTGTTTTCCTAGAGAACAACATCCCTGAGCTGGCACTGTCTAACATAGAGCTGGTACTCAGGAAATACTTGATGGATAAATGAGGCAGCAACTGAATGTCCTCCTGAGCCACATGTGTTGTGAATATTGATTCTGGAACAGCAGTAGCTTTGGACAAAGTCAGCTGGCCAGGACAAGGGCTTTATAAGCATGAAGTTGCATCGCTGCCTTGAAGCTATCGTGCACAACACTAGATGGAGCCCCATCCCCGCAAATATTTTCAATTTTTCAGAAATAGATGCAAACCTAAACTACTTTCGATTTCCTCTTTTAGACTAATGATTATATTAATCTATCATACCTAGGTTAAAGTATACTGATCCTTGTAGGTTTCCTTTAATTACTACTCTATTACAGCAAAAGGATTTTCCTTCATTTTCTGAGTCAAGGTATAACAAGTCTATAAAATTAAGTAGATGGGTCTAAATTGTTCCCTTCATTTCAGGATGCAGACAATACCTGTCCCCCTGTTGAAAACACTGACACTACTTAAAACACTGAAACTAGTAATAACCAAATGGCCCAAAAGTACTTTACTGAATATTTGCACTATACTCAGATCTTCCATGAGGCAAGTCACAACACAATCATTAACTGCATGTACCAAAAGCTCTGCTCTCAGCTGTTCGTCCTCACATCCTCTTCAGTGGACTTAGAGAAGGTGCAGATTCTCAGAAGAGAAGGCTCAGTCATAGTCAAAAGAACACTGTATTAAACAAGATGTGTTTCAAAAGCAGCTAGCTGAAGCACAGAGACCATTGCCACCATCAGACTCTTCATCTTGACATGTGTACAGGTGGGCTCTTGGTCACAAATCCGTCTTTCGAGCCACACCACATACCAAACTGAAAACCATTTGTTAAGACCATCTTTAAAACAGTCAAATATACAATAAGACAGGATCTGTGACAAGTCTTCACCTTACTCTAACAGAGTGCTTCCCACCACATCTATGATTCCATAGCACCTTGCATAAACATCTACTTTGGTACTTTTCAAAGTGGGCAGTAATTAACTATTTTTCTGTCACACCACTAGACTCAGAGTCACTGAGAACAGGGACAGAGTCAGTTTACCTGAGTGCCCCACACAGTATTCTGACAGGACAGGTATTTGCTGAGGAATGAAAGAAGAAAATACCATATTCAAGTCATTTGGAGATGCTGATTTTTCAAATCTTGTATGTTGTCTACGAGAGTTATAGACTCACCTACCAAAACACAGTTGCTAATATAAATTATGTATAAAAGTCAGATTCAGGTTTATTTGCTTCGAGAGCAACTTGATCAAAGAACAGCCACCTTCATTACTATCTCTGGAGCTTTAGAGAGACCACGAAAGTGTGTCAGCAAACAGCCTGTGCCTGAGGGAGCAGCGCCAAGCTCCGGACCTCAGATCTCCTTCACCCTTGCTTCCTCTTCTCTTTGCCTTGTGGAGCCTCAGTTCCCTCTTGATCTCATTTACAACTTCTCTACCATAAAAAAAAAAACAAAACCCAGCTTCCCATCATTTACATCTTGATGTGATTTTAAGTGTTACCTACTCTAAGAATCCTTGCATCCAGCCTTACCTCTTTTTTGAGGGATGGCGTGAGAAGAGTTCTAAATTTATTAGAGAAGGTTTATGGGCTCTGGAAGAGCTGGAGCTCTGGGTCACCAGACCCCCAGAGTCTAGTTTTGTTGCCAATGCACGTGGTCCTGGCAGAGTGGCAGCAACTCTGAGGACCATGCAGAGTTGTCTCTCAGTCCTCTAAGCTTTTATTCTTTTTTGCAACATTAAGGCTTTGACCACAACCATTTTATCAACCTAATTGACAATTTTGATCACTTCAGAGACTGAGCACGTCTACCAAACACTGCAGCGTTTTCGCCAATGTTTTTAGCAATTGCCAAATAAAAATGCTAGTTTATGAATACTTAGTAGAAACTCACAATTTCCTACCCCCAATGAGAAGGAATATTCCTAAATATAAGCACTTTTGGATCCATCTGCACATCAGCACATGAAAATGGCCTCAAAAGTCACCTTTAAATGCCTTCCCAAATGGGCATGTAATGGTAACAAGATAAATTCAAATATTACCTTATAATTATTGGGGACCCAGAAAACCAAAGGGGTAGGAATATTTCAGATTTCAAATAGTAAGGCAAAATAAAAAGAGATGTAGTTATTACCGTCAAATGTTTAAGTTTCCTTAACAGTTAATAAAAAGAAAAATGAATAAATGTAAAGGTTAATTTTACATACAACTACTAAAATAAAGGCTAATTTGTTACTTAAGTGCTTAGTTTAGGTTAGTAATAGATATTTTAGCAAGGTGTAGGAGTCAACAACACCCATGAATATTATGTGTACACACACACTGCAGTTATCTTTTTAGTAACAATGACCGATAAAACAGGTTTTTCAATTTAATTAGAAATATTTCTATATTAATAATCCTATGTCAGAACTTAATTTTAACTATGCTTCTTCACTGTAAACTAGTACTTCTACAAAGGAGAAAGTAAAGCATAATCACTTACTTTCACAAGTTCCTGCTGAGCCCATATCTGAATGGGTTCTACCTGTTGAGGAGTTTGAGTTTGAATACCATATGTGTTGAGGAAAACTTGCAGGCTAAATAACAGAGGAAAAAAGAGAGACATTTTTTGACAATGTATTTATAGTTTGAAAAATGTGAAGGAGGAGGATAAGAGGGAAGAGATTATGCTAATTTGGGGCACTTTATTAATTTGCTGATGTGAGTGACATGCCATCTGCTTTGGAATCCAGAGGCCCTTGTGGGTTCTTCACAAAATATCAGATGGGCACTCTAGGGGTGGAAAAAGCAGGTAAGCACTGATTTTGGGAATCTCCATAATCGGTTTGCACTAATTTCTCAAAACTATACCCAAGCAGCATTGGCATTGGTCACAGTCTTTAATATTCACATCAACAAAATCAAAGTATTTAAAAATGAGCAGACTTATTTCTGGTACTTAAAGTGACATCAATGACCTTAATGACATTAAAGCCCTTTCAAGGGGCTTATGATATTAATATCTACTATCATACTCAATAGTATAGCATAAAGCAATCTGTTCCTCCCACCCCACTCCCCCACCTCCCACCAGGAACACGCCACCCATCTGGATTTCATACCGTTGGCTTTCTGCTACAAGTGCTACATGAACTACAAATCATTTTCCAGTGGGCCCTGCAATACCGAATAAGAGAAAAAGAAACACATGTTAAAAGATTTGGTCATCATCAACTACAATGAGAATAAAGAACAATATTAACCATCTCTAAGCAGTTCATTAAAATGATGGACACCAGCTGGCTCTATGCAATTGCTTCCTTTTCCTTGCTCTTCACTGCCTACTAATCAATTTGATGGTGCAGATAGAGTAATGGAACGCCAAGGAATGGAGAGTCATAAATCTTACTGCTACCAGGGGAACTAACCTGTCAGGGCTATTTTGAATGATGCATAAGAGTAGTTTGGAAATTGAGAGTCATTTTCCATCATTTAACACTGAAGGGAGGAGAAGGAACTAAAAAAAAAACCCAATTTATGTATTCTCTGTAAAAAAATTGTGAATTAAAATTGTTCATATATGTGACATTTTAACCACATAGAAGGCAATTACCTTTCTTGTTAGTCAATTTTCCTTTGGCGCCTTATATATCAAAATAACTTATTCTAATATATAGTTCCTATGGTAGAGAGAACTACCCAGTTGACTATATAATTAACACTATGTTCATTAATACAAGCTGTTGGGTTTAATAGTTCTAATCAAAGATAATGTTGGATATTTGCTACTCTTTTTTGTGTGGAAAAGATTTACCATTAACATATATTATACATTGTTAAAATGAACCCAATTTTTAGTCTGTATATAATTAACAGAGAACATTAAGACAAACCAATAAATTAGAGTGTAAGGAAGCTCCAAAAATACTGATCAAATATAATATCTTTATAGTAATGAATCCAACATTCCCAATAATATGTTGTAAAATGCTTGATTTACCATCAGTCAGTTCCTCTCTGTGGTAGTTAATATGCACTAGAATTTATGTATGATGGAAGGCAAGAAACACTAGGACACATATATCAGCAGTAAATATCATACAATCAAAGGAATGGTTCCCAGAATTGTCATGAAAACGCCATTTCAGGCAGACTTCCATGTGATTTAAATGAATATTTTAGAGAAAATATGGTGTAACAATCCAACAAAAATAAATACACATTAAAATGCTGTAAATTCTATTTTTATTTGTTAAAGACCTTAAATGTTAATGTTACTCAAAAGGATGAAAAAATTATTCAGTATCTCATCAAGATTTCTAACAAGAAATGAAAACATTCAGCCTTATTTCTCTTAAGTGAAACCTATTATTTACTTCATTAAAAGGAGGAGTTATCTTAGAGTGGGTCATTATCTACAATCTTCAGGACAATCAAGGATTCTTAAATTAAAAGCAAGTGAAAACATATACTAGAATGCTGACAATAAATAAGGTAACTTATAGATCTTAATTGGCAAATTGATAACTTCTTTTTGATTCATAGGCCTGCCCGGGATGTTTTCCATTTGTGTAACAAGATACTCAGATCTAAAATGCCCACTAGATATGGTGAATCAGTGTGAACATTCTGTGGGGGGACCATTAGATAGTAGAATTGCTTACTGTTTGATAGATGCCTACCTAGTCAAGTTTTTCAATTTTCTGTTTATCTGTAAGATGGCAATATGATACTTAGGTTATTACATAAGGGTAGGATCAAACATCCAGAATATATTTACATACTTTGAACTGCTAAACAAATGTTATTTATATTTTTTTCTGTACCAATTAACCTCATTAAGCCTCAATTTCCTGCCTGGTAAACTGAGATAACAAAGATCTACTTGTCAAAACAGACAAGAAATAACAAGTATTGGTGAGGATGTGCACTATTAATGTGAATGTTAACTCAGTGCATCCACTATAGAAAACAGTATGAATGTTCCTCAAAAATTTAAAACAGAACTACAATATGATCCAGCAATCCAAAAATGGACCTCTGAGTATTTATCCAATGAAAACAAAAACACTAACTTGAAGAGATATCTGTTCAATGTAACATTTATAATAGCCAGGATATGGAAAAGTATACATTAATGAATGAATGGATTAATGAAGAAAATGTGGTGTACACACACACGAACACACTCGTGCACACTGGAAAGCCACACACAGTCACAATAAAGAATGAAATCTTACAATTGGCAACAACAGATGGACCTTGACGATATTATGCAAAGTGAAATAAGTCAGACAGAGAAAACAAATGATGTATGATCTCACCTATATGTGGACTCTAGAAAACAAAATCCAAGCTTCTTTTTTATAGAAAAAAGAACAGACTGGTAGTTACCAGAGGTGTGGGGTGAGGAGTGGTTAAAATAGGTGAAGTGGTCATAAGGTACAAACTTCCAATTTATAAAATAAATAAGTCCTAGGATATAATCTACAGCACGGTAACTATAGCTAGTAATATGTATTGCATATTTGAAAGTGGTTAAGATAGTAAATCTTTAAAGTACTTATCAAAAGAAAAAATTGTAACTGTATGGTGACAAATGTTAACTAAATTTATTGTGGTGACCATTTTGCACTATACACACTATATATACACATAAAATCATTACATTGTATACCTGAAACTCATATAATGTTATATGTCAGTTACACGTTAAAAAAAAAAAAAAAAAAAGGATGGAGATCACCAAGATGGTGGCTGGGTGAAAACAATGGAACTGCTTGCTCCACATATTCACAACTAAATTACAATAGAACAAAGTCAAAACCACTGAGAGATAAACAGATGACTACTGCACACATCAGGAATCAGGAGAAAAGGGTGCAACACGATAGTGCTACCGGGATAGTGCTACCCAAGAGACAAAGGGCAAAGCCCCTCTGCTGTTGTTAACTCAGAGGCTCCCATTCACACTGGGGACTTTGGAGACTAGATATTGCACTGGAGAAAGGTTGCAGAGAGATGACATATAGGACAAAGTTTGCACTATGGGCTAAGCAGAGGTGATGGATACTGGCTTGAGCCTGGAGGGTCCTAATCTAGAACAGTTGGAGCCCAAACCAATGGGGATCAACTGTGTCTCCTTCTAGACTACTATTTTCAGCCTGATGCTGTGATATTTGAAACATCTGCTTTACCCTTACCCCAGGCAAAAACTGAGACAACTGAATTCTTTCAATAATCAGAGTTTAAGCACTTGGATCTTAAGAACTGGAACAAAAGCTCCCCATGGAAAGGCTAAGTGAGGGGATCACTGTCTATCCTCACCGCACAACTCAGGTCCCACAGCTCACTGGAGGCGACCTTGCAGTGACCTATTGCCCCAGTTCATTCCTATCTATTTCTCTTTACTGACATCAGTATCTCAGCCATATGAACAGAAGCAAAGGCAGCAATACATGAAATAACAAGCATCTAAAGATCCTTGGTAAGATACCTATGATTATATCCAGCTTCTTATGGGTGGGTTATAAGGACATTTATTAAGAAAGGGAAACTCTCTATTATAACCCATAACAAAAAAAACAAACAAACAAACATGAAGAGACAGGAGCATATCAGA